TGTGTGTGTTGTATTGGAAATTCTCCCTGGGCAGTATAAATACATGGTTGAAGAAAAAGCTTTCATCTAGTTCTCTCTGAAGATCACTACAGAAGGTATACTGTGAGCAAGTCCAAGAATACTATTACATCTTATTTTCCTTAAGTCTGATGAAACTGATTTGATGGTTAACATACCAGCTGAGGCTTTATAACATGCATCATTACTGCAGAGTGATGGAAAGACAGCTCTGGACAGAAGGACCACCCACAACTGTAATAACTGGAATTACAGATTGCACACACAGAACAGAGCCCAGTTAGGTGAAGCAGTTATTTCCCACAGCTATAATTCTTGGAAATGGCTTGCAGACCCAGTACACAGAGGAAACAAAATATTACTGACAACTCCTGAACATACTAAGGCAATAGGAGATTACCAATACAATATCCATAGCAGCAGAGAATAAAAAATCATCACTACCCATTCTATATTATGGAGAAAGCAAGCATTTAAAATTACAAAAAGTATTTCAGGAGGTAATTTTTCATAGAGGAAGACTCATAACAGCCGACTTTTGCTCATTGACAAAGAGCAAGAGGACGAGGATACATCACAGACATACATGCTGTATGCATACATTGCAGCTTGGTATGTCCTGTATCGCCACTCTGCAGAAAGTCTTCCACTGCACAGCAAGGCTGAATGCCTTTTTGCACAGCTACTAGCTGAATCAGATGGCCCTTTCCAAATGAGAGGAGATGGCATTACCTCAGGGAACAAAAAAGCACTCTCCTGTGGGAGAACTTCCTGCATTTCAGGATGAGATCAGACACTGAGTGAGGGAGAAACACATAAAAAAAAGCTCCTGCAGGGAGATGGTACCCAGGAAACAAGTACAGTCAGGCCCTAGGGTGGACAAGAAAAGTTCTTCTAGGGCCACAGAGGGACTGTCCTGAGTTTGTTGCAGGACAGAGCCCCCCGGGGAGATCTTGGAGTGGCAGAAGGAATGAATAAGAGGGCTTGCCTTGAAAGGACACAGTGAGCAGGGAGGGAGAACGGGTTGTTCTGTTTAAGAATTTTTTATAGGTTCTATTCAGGAAAAATCTGGCTTTGGAAACACTAGCTATTTATATACTGTCAGAGGAAGGGCGTGAATTGTGCCACAAAACCTACTGACCTATTTGATCTTTTATTGTACTGTATTTTGTGTTCCCTTATTTTCAGGGTGTTTACAGAATTTACAAAACTCTTGTTTTAACCTAAAAAGGCACCTGGTGACAAAATCTGGCCTCAGGATTTACTGCTTAACATTACAGCTGGCAACATCTACAGCTCCAAGCAGAACAACCTTGTAATGAGATAATGACAAATAGGGATCTGAGGTCCTTCTCCAGAAACCTAAGTGCTATTAGCACACCTTTAATATTTTTTCCACAAGGACCTAAGGTAATGTTTTTAAAAATGTGTACAACTTATAATAATCAAAGTATGGTTCATGCCCTGTTAGTATCACAGTTCAGTTGCCATACCTACGAAAAATTTGTTTTTACATGTTTCATTTTTACATTTTTAACAGTTGTAGTCTCTGAAAAAAGTATTTTTTTGTAGTGGAGATAATTCAGAATAGATATGAAATTCTTCCAGCATTAAAAAAATAAATGCTGGATCACAAATATCCTTTTATGTATAACATCAGAACCCAGTGCTTGCTCCACCTTGCTTTTGTATCAACCCTTTTATCAGTATAAAAATTTTCTTGTTACTTTCTTTATGGCATTTGCCTTCTTGCTGTGAACGTTGCTTTTTCTTTGTTATTTCTCTGTTTTCGCTTCTTTTTCCTGTCTTTGGCTCCTGTTCTGAAACTTTCACTTTACTAGCCCTCTCAAGATACTAGGTACATATGCTTTTCAGTAACTGTTTTTCCCCAGGAACTGAAGTGAAGCTCACTTGTTCTGTATTTCCTTAGTTCTTTATTTCATCCCTTTAAAGTGGCACAAAGTTAGTTACAGAAAAAAAGTCAGAGTAAAAAGCCATCGAATTTCATGTCAGTCCATTCTCAAACTGTGATCAAGGCCAAGCCTTGCTTTCACTGAAGACAGTGCATCAGAGCTCTGAGGCTGTTAGTAGGCTCTGATGGCACTGACTGACCTCACCTGGGACCTCACCTGCACCCTCTGCCTGTGGCCCAGAAGCCCCATTTCAGCTCAGCCCTGGGCACCCAGACCTGTCTGAGGTACGCTGTGAGTGCTGTGTCCCCAGCCCTGTCTCTGACCCTGCCTCCTGGATCATCTCTGGACCCATGTCGTACCTTCATCTCCAGCCCTGTCTCCAGCCCCATCTCCTGTTCCTGGCTGGACTCTTCAAACGGACCCCAGACGTGGCTTATTGTTTGCTGTGTCTGAGGCTGTCAATGGACCCTGTCACCAGCGCCCAGCTCTGCCCGCCATGGGGACAGTGCTCGGGTCAATAGGGGACTGCCTGCGCCAGGGTCACCCAGGCTACTGCCTGTGCATGGGGCAACTTCGCTCTCCCTGCTCCCTGGCAGTGGGCACCCTGCTGCCATAGACAGTGCAGACACTGGGTAACAAAAGGTGGTTCTAGGTAAGGTCAGGTTTCTTTCCCAAACCCTGTCTCCTGACCACAGCCAGCAGCAGGACAGCCTTCCCACCAGCAGGGACCAGAGGCTGCCATCCCCCTCCTGATGGACTCAGCAGTGTCCTTGCAACCTGCCAGTTTCCTGGAGAGAGCAGGAAGTATTGCTGCACCTGCTACTGCTTTCCTGCAACCTGCATTTTGGCTAGCATTTGCTGGTGTTCTCACGCCCTGCATCTCACTCACCTCCTTTGCCACCACTCTGCAGCAAGATCCTAAAGCAAACTTGCTGTTTTCTGACTGAAAAAGGAGAAAGGAAGCAGTGCTGCCTGGCTACGAGGACATCTCATCAGGCATGCACACTTGTGTAAATGAGTGCCCTGGAAACAGACAATGACAAGGTGATCCCAAGTCCAGCTCCCCAGCCCTTGGACCCAGGCCTGGGCCCTGGGCCTCTTTTACCTAGCCACCAGTTCTATCCCGGGGTCTTCCCAGGTGTAACATAAAAGTGGCTTCTTCAGGCAGCACAGTGCTTGAAGGGTTGCTATTTTATCAGCATTTAACAATAATAATAATTTATTGTTAGGAACGATCAGATTAACTTTGTAGGAAGGCCTGCTCCACTCATTTCCCAGCTATTTCATTCCACTAAGTCCTGTACTGATTTTCAGCATGCCACTATTTCCCTGATTGAAACAATCACTTTTGTAATTAGACCAACTGGTCACTTAAACCGTGCAGAACGGCTAAGCTGGCAGGGTACCACAATGTTTTTAGCAAATAAGTATGCTGATGCGTTGTCTGCCTTCCAGTCTTTACACAATGTTCTTACACTTTGAAAATGGAATGGATGCCCCCATTCGGATGCAGATCTTGGGGTGGGGAGGGAACTGGTTGTACAGAGCGTTTTGGCATGAAGCTGCTTTTTCATTGTTGATTTGCTTCCATAGCCATAGCTAACAACATATGGTAGATACACAACCACGCAGTGCATAAAAACCTCTCAGGCGGGAAGAAGGATAAGAATTGTTACACTTACAACAGGAATGCACCCCACATGCAGCTAGGAGATTAGTGCTGCACTTAATGTCAGCAGTAAAACAAACTGATAGGATTGTTAGTTTTCCCAGATGTGCACTGTAATTTGCAATTTAATTTTAAAGCCACAATACTGCCTCCTTTGGGAGCAATACAATGTGCTAGAATTTGTCTATTACATTTTTTTGTAAATTCAAAGCAAAGTGACATGCACCTTTTCACACTACTGTGTGGGTGGGTGGGTGGGGGGATGGATGGATGGGTGCAGGGTGTGTGTATGATAAGGTAATTTGCAGAAAACTCTAGCTTCTGACGACTTAATCGCTCCACAGCTTTATTTCGCTATATCCCTGCCCTGCAAAAAAACACTGGGTAAACATGTATGGTAAATGGGATAGCTGAATCCCTAACTGGCCTCCCTATACACAATCCCCTCTTAATTCAGTTAATTTTAGATGGATGAAAAGAGCCTGGATCCAAGGTACGCCACACTGAAAGTCAGTCAGATAGAAGGATGCTCTATAGCATCAAAACGGGTAGGATCATGCAGCTGAGAGAGAGTGCAGGAGCTGGGAGAGTTTAGGAGTTTAGGAGATTAAGATTTTAAAACAAATGCTGCCCTGCATTTGCTCTCCACTTACCACTCATCATGCTGTTTCAACAACCTTGCTGTTTCAACACTACATCATACTCTACTGTCCTTGATTTTTCTTCTCCTTTAGCTCCCACTATTCACAAGCTTCTAGTTTTTCTCCCACCACTCCTTCCAATACATCAGCTTTCCTTTCACCTGGAGACTGACCCCCTTTGTCTCTGAGGTTTTCATTCCAATTCCTCTTCCTTGCATGGTAGGTGAGGCTTGCTTCAGGACTGTGAAGACAATGCAATATGTATATTCTTTCATATGGAGTACAGTAGGAACTTGCTGCAAGCGTAAAGCAAACAGCTGACTCAGGTATCGACAGTTTTCATTTTGATACCTGTGCTAGAGAACCATGGACATGGGAGGAGGAGAATGGTGCAAGGCAGCTACATGATTAAAAAGCAGAAGGCTTGTTTTAGCTTGGCTTGTTCTGCAAAACCTAGAGAATTGTAGAGCTGCCACCCCTCCTGTCTTTCAGCTCAAAAACTCCATGTAAGGGAACAGGGGCTCCAGCTTCTGCACTGAACTTTGTGGCAGGGTGCTGGGCTATGAACTGTGTTACTCGACAGAGAAGTGTCGCAGCACTGGGCAGACCAGGAGAGGTGCTTCCAAAGGATTACAGCACCAGCCTCAGCAGCGGCTGGAAATTTGTTTTTCTTTTGTGCTGAACTATGGGCCCATTGCCAATCTTCCTCTAATTCAGGTGCTGTTATATAGAAACGTAAACATCAGCATTTGTTTGGTGGGTTTTTTTTTTTTTTTTTTTTTGGCAGCGTCTGCTGGAGCTTGCTATGTCCTCCCTTTGGGAGGAAAAGAGGCTGGTGTGGGCATAGCACAGCTGATCCAGAAGTCAGAGCTCCCCATTACTGCTGCAGAGACTCTTGACAGTATCCAGAAAGGTTTAACCCCCTTACATACACCACGTCAGAGCCCCTGAATAAAGCGTCAGACAACAGAAGCTTGTTCTTCCTAATGTTCGCTCCTCTGTGGGCCAGCTGCTAGACTGTTGTCCTGTTAGGCTTCAGACTGTGCTACTGACTAATCAGTGATCCCCAGAGAACAGTGTCTTCCCTTTAACTTCCTAATCAAGATGCTGTGAAACAGTTTACAGAGGAAAAAACACCTTTTCTTCACGCTGCCAGAGTATTCCCTGCCCAACTGCACTGAAGTATTATTAGCTGAGTTCCCTCAACCACAGCTAACTGACGTGGGACTCAGTTTTGATTCAAGTTTTTTGAATAAACATCTCTCTATCCCACAAACCAAATCCAATCCTGTGAATGATTAGAGAGTTTTAAAAATATCTCATTCAACTCTTTGCATGTAATGTATTCTCAGATTTAATTTTACTAAACATCTATGTGAATATTTCTTGAAGACTTTTGTTTCCTATGAAAGACTTTGGTATTCGCCTATTAACTGGGTACCCTGCACTCTTGAATCGTCTTCTGCAATATCTGAAGGGTGTTTTTTATTTTTAAGCATGGGACCATTTAACATTTTTTATAACTCAGCATATTCTACCAATAGTTGCTAAGAAAGTTAATTGTTATCACTTCTCATTTGTGATCTTTGACCAGCAGGTCCAATTTGTCATCTCCTCCCTCAGCATCTGAGAAATTAAGTGGGGTCAATGGGGCTCACCTGACAGTTATTCAGCACCCAGCAGCAATTGCCCATGACCTTGGCAGGAGCATCATAGCGCCTACCCGTTCTATTTATCTCAGGTTGTCATAAGATCCAGGATATGAACAACAACAACAAATCTTCCATTTTGCAGAAAATGTTTTAAAAAATGCATTGGGAAATGATTTGTCCCCTTCAGTGTAGGAAGCAGTGACCGAAAAACAGCTCTAGGACAGGAGGAAGAGTTATCAGTCACCTGATTTCTGAATCCTATAACCTCAGGAAGGTCCACTGCATAATCCTATGGCAGCTAGGCAAGGAACATATGAAAGCTGCCCATATATTACTTGTGCAAAATATCCAAAAGCAAAGCTGAAGCCACATACAGCTTTTGCGGTTCAAAGTCTGCACATAACTTCTACATACATCCTTCTATATGGATTTTTTTTCATTTGTTTACTTGGGTAGTTGCTTGTTTTTAGTGCAAGAAAGATGCAACTTGGAGAGCAAGTTCACCATTCCCATAGAAAAAGTGAGCAGCATCTGCTTGTCACAGATAGAGAGAGAACGGCAGTCCCTGGATAGTTAAAACAGGACAGAGGTGCAGAGGAAAGACTACTGATTGCTCACTGCTGGCATTACCTCTGCACCTCTCCTCACCAACCTGCCCTTTCCCTGAGTCACGGTTCATATTGCTCATACTGCTTCATTAATTCCAACCTCTAAAGACCCACAGGATTTGTCCATGCAGCACCCACTTTTCAGGTACGCTCATAAAACAGAGACTCCACAGTCCCAGCACAAGGATGCATGCAGATGTTTCATTTTCTGAAGCATATAAGTAGTCAGGTCCAAAGACAATGATGTTAGGTGGGAAGCAGTTCTGGATGTCCCAGCAGAAACAAAGTATTGGATTTGATATGTCATGCAGCAAATAGGCACCAGAGTCCTGCAGGATGTCCTTGGTGAGCTCCCTGAACTCCTGACGTGACCTCCCGAGTGGCAGCAGTCCTTCCAATGCGCTGTGACATCCCACTGACCAGCTGCTCACTTGCTTCCACCTCAATCCTGTTGTGGAAACAGTTCGACTCTAGGTTTCTGAGGAGCAGAGTCTCATGCCTGTACAACAGCTATATTAATTATTTATTTAAATGACAGTACAACAGAGTAACAGCTCGAGCTGGGTGCCTCCACAGAGGGACCCAGAACAAAAGAATTCTTAAGTAATTATACTTTTTACAGATGGGTGCTATGATTTTGCAGTCATATCATCAGCAATGTTCTTACAGTTCAGTCCCGTGGCCTGCAGGCTTCACCTACTTTAGGCACTTACGCTAAGCAAGAGTCAGACTTACACTAAGCTGAAGCTAAGTCAGCTACAATTCCCTTCTTTGATGCTCCCTCAGCAGTATTTCCCTTCACACACTCCTTTTGCCCTGCTCCAGCCTCTCTTTCACTCAGCTCCTGTTTCATGTGTTTTCTTTCCCCTCCCTCCATAACAAGGTGTTTAGGAGTGCCTTTGTGCTCTCAGGAATATTCATTTTCCTCTATGGTCAACAGATCCTCCTCATCTGTGGACTCCTGTCCTTGAAAGCAGATCCTGTGTCTGCCCAGGCACCCTAATCTACATGCAGATCCCCACCAACATCAGTTACACTGCCTCGCAGTAAAGGACAAAAGAAGTCATCATCTTCCTCAGACCACCAGTGTGTCCTAAGAGCTAATGTCTATAGCTGAGACTCCTCTACACTTGAGCAATTTTTCTAGCTGAACCTCCTGTCTTTCATAAGGATGCATCCTGAACAGTCATGCATTAAAACATTACTAGAGAGTGGTTATTCCGTTATCAAGAGCAAACTGAACTTATTTGGAATCCGTGTAGAGTGACTGCATTTTTAACTGATAGGTTATCTTAGCAATGAGTATGATTATCTTCAATTTTCATAGGTAGCTGCAGCCTTCTATTTCTCCTTTATAATTTTGCAATACACTGTAAAATTTCTATAAAGTATTTCTACTAATGGCAGTAGGAGCATATTAATTTAGCGCTTTTACAGCTGACCTTTATATAATGCAATTCCAGAATGACCAGAATGACCACATCAGTGTATTATTAGCAACTACCTCATCAACTATCCAAAGTTTCACATTTATTAGGTGTATGAGCAGATAATTGAAACTGACCAGTTTCTGCATGTAAGCACCCCTTGGGACACCAAATAAAAACTGAGCCTTTTCTGCAGATATGCATTTTTATATGGATTATTTATATTTTATTTTGAAATAATCTACATATAATTATTCTATATTATGTTTCAAATATTCATGGACTAGTTCACACTGGAGAGGATATAATGGAAAAGCATAGTTTTCCTTTCTCTTTTTGCCTGTATAATTTAAAGAATTAGTTCAATGTTACAAAAACAGTCTTTTGCTAGCTCTAAAATTCTTAATCCAGCCATCCAGTTACGTTATTCTTCAGGACTGAACTAGTCATTTGTCTCGTGCAGTACATCAAAATCTTCTTAAAACATTTCTCAAACCAAATATCATGCTTGAAATGGAAACTTAATAATCCCAGCTGGTAGCTGACCAATATGCCTCTTCACCAGAGAGGTGCAAGAAAAAAAAAAAAATCTATCATTCCACTTTTATGTTCAGAGAAGATATTATACCATCTACTATTTCAGAAGTGCACAGAATCCTCCAGATTGCCTACCCTGATTAAGTTTACTTAACTCTTTTAAAATACTTCTGTGAGTAAAATTAATAGCCTCCCAGGGCATCTCTAATCTCCTAAGTTTATTAATTTGTGCAATCCCCTGTAATTCAATGCTGGAAACTTTTGATTTAAGATACTGCATGCTGATGACACTATTTTAGTGAAAATGACTATATTACTTAAAGTGGTTTTAAGAGTACTTTTAATTAGGGAAAAAAACAAACTTTTTAGAATCAAATTAGTCTATTCATAATTTAGAAACATCCGCTTTGGAAATAATCTGCAATTTAAGACAGTCTACAATGCTTTAATGAATGGCAAATCCACAGTATAAGCACTATTCATTTTAAAAATTGATCTCAGAGGTAAGATTTCAAGCACATAGTCTTCTTGGTGGTCCTGTATCCCTCCTACTTGCTTAATGGAGGCAGGTAATTTAGCCTTTGATTTTATGTCCCATTATTATTGATTTGTTAGCAACCTGCACACTTAATCCATGAAGAACTCTAAGTTCTTCTATTCCTTGTAGCTATGTCTCCAGTCTCCTGTTGCTTGGCTCTTGGTAGTGTCCCTTGCTCCCTCCCCAGGATGATTCCTCATGCATGACTTTGCATCACTTCCCACTAGAGGCAGGCAGACAGGGCACTCCTGGAAGCACTGAGCACTGATTTGCCTGCTGTATGAAGTGAGCAGCCCACTTTTTCTCTTGGTCAACAACCTGCAGAAGAGTTGTTGTGTCACAAGGACACTACAGAGTTAAGTCATTATTCCAAAAGAATATACGGCAAACAGAAGAGTCCTTTGTGGTTTATGCAGCTAAAGAATCAATGATCAAAATCCTGAGCTATGCCTAAGCTGAGATGCATTCTAGGAGGAGCGTCAGAGCCTGGCTTACAATCACACAGATAAACACTATCCCATCTTCTCTCCAAAGCAGGATAGCTTCATCTGTACTGCTTGCTGGGAATAATCCCTGGTCTACACCGTCTCCCTTACAACCATGTCCAAGCATTATCCGAGGCAGCGCATGGTATGAGCCAAAAACTTTTTTGTTTGTGCCAGTGAGTAGGCGATATCCCAGTATTATTGGTTGTTGAATGTGGGGAGAATATCATCTTAAAGACCGTCTTGCCTGTGTTTGAACGCCTGTCGCTAGGTTAGCAAAGTTTGATGGGTTTTTTTGTTTGTTTGTTCTTTGTATAAGACAGTCCTCTCTGTGCTGAAAGACTATTTACCTTCTCAAGGGAAATCAAAGGGAAAGAAATAGGCATCTATTCCAGTAGCAGCCAGACTGCACTCATCAGTGGAAGAAGCTCTCCAAAGCCAAGAACCCATCAGCAAAACTTCCATAGATAAGAGACCCGGCTGGAAGCGTCAGAGAAACTGAGCAGCTCAAAAACTCTTGTGCTTTAGGTTTTTGTGTTTACAAAAAGAATTAAAGACTGGGATATTCCTGGGAAAGCATGATCTAAAAGCTTACTACAATGCATAACTACAAAAAGCAGCGCTCAGCACAGTTGTTACTATGCTTAAAGGTTAAACTGCTGTCATCTCTCTATATACATTACAATCTGTGTCAGCAAAGCTGCATGTCAAGAAACATGCAAAGGTAGCTATTAAAAATACTGGAAAAGCTCCAAAGCTAAACAAATGCATAGTCTCAGTTTTTAGTGAATCGGGATGACGATGATGTTCAGCATGGGGATATAGGCAGGAAGGATAATAAGAACGACATTTTGGAAATTGCAATGACCAGTCAAAGGGGATACTTACAAGTCACATCCCAGAATTTAGTTCTTTTAAACAGAGAAATTTAATTATCTTAGATAAACCAACACCTGCATTTCAGCCTGTCTCATCTAAAGTGAACAATTGTTTTTAAGCAGCCATCCATTATGAATCCAATTAATAATATTGTTTCCACAAAAGTAATATAACACAAAATTGCCTTTTAAAAATTCACAATAAGAGAACATGATGCCCTAGGGGAAATTTTTATTGTTTAAAATAACCTATGTGTTAAGTTGATATTCCAGTTTATTATAAGTTATATGAGAGAAATGTGTTGAATTTGTTTAAAAGCAACAACAATAACCATATGGCATAATGAACAAAAGGCTGAACTACTTGAGCAGTGTATAAAATACCTTTACCGTGCAAAAGATAAATAACCATCCACAGAGCAGCAAAACTATCTTCTAAAATGCTATAGCAACATAAAGTTTAAGAGATACGTTTTCATCTCCTTTTCTACTGGCTAAACTGAAAACCTTTGAGGGCCTGTGCAATGACTGAAGCGCTAATGCTAACAGTAAAGACACCCACTGTGGTTGTATCACTTATGAAAATGCAACAGGAAGGACATGGTACCTGCAGAAGCCAAACAGCAGGTGTTCAGCTCAGGTGGGACAGGAGAGTCTGTGGCATTCGTCAACAACAGCAGCTAACAGATGCAGCTAACAGATGCAGCAGTTTGCACAGCAGGGTGCAAAGAAGGGGTCCTCGTCTCCATTCAGAGCAACACACTTGTTCTCAGATACAGCTGTTGCACGTCACAGGGCACGCTCCCTGGTAGCTGTTGGAGTCACCATTCCTGCCATGTCAGAGGTTTCCACCCAGACAGACTTTCTGATGGAGGATGCAGCTCTGTAAGTCTCAGGCCGCAAGGAGTGCCTGGGGGCTCTCCATGAGGCAGGGGCTGACAGTCATCTTTCCTACAGCGGGCATGCTGTTGTTGATGAGTTGTGTTGCCAGGTAAAGGAGCTAAGGGAGGAAGTCAGCTAGACGCGTAGCATTGGAAAGGACAAGCATTCTTTATAACTTAGATTATGAAAGACAAAAAAATCAAAGTAGCAGAAACGCATACAGGATCTCTTCATGGCATATAACACAAGCTGTATTGTCTGGTACAGGCAAACGGATGCTTCTATGAATGGTTCTTATTAATGCTGATACTACCTTTCCCAGGCAACTTTGCCAAATATATGACATCACACAACAGAAATGAGAGGTGACAGGGAAAGATGCTGTGCAGATGAAAGAAATCCAAGCAGAGGATAGACAAGTATTTTCTTGAAGTCCAGTGATACTCTAATATATTTCAGAAGGATGAAATACATAAAACTTTCATTAAACATTTTTTGTTTGACAGAGGCAAATAATCAACTACAGAATTTGGATGAGTGTTAGAGGCTTGACACTGTGCAGGGCTACGCAATCTCATGGTCACTGACGCATGCAGGAGCCGGGAAATGCTCAGTCCTTGCATGACTGAGCCCCTACTGAGAAAGGGAGGGTGAAATATTTTAAACGTTAAAGACAGAACTCACTCAGGAAATTTTTTGCG